CTGATTGAAGCTAAGGGCATACAAAACTGTCTAACATTCATGACTTGTGAGGGTCTTTAGGAACTCAAATGGAAAGATACTTCATGTATATTCAGCACTGCTAGTATTGGAACATCAATTAGATCTGAAATCTTAGCCTTAGTGCAAGGTTATGTTTTACATTGTAGAGAAGATGGGCCGAATGGCCCATAGGCTGTTTATCTTTTTTATCTTTTATGTTCTTTGTTGTAATGGGCATTAATCTGGGCTCTTATTCTTTTTTATGTTATGTTTTTTAATTTTCTGCCCAACCAGGGGCCTCTTTGTAAATTACTAAAGTTTAACTTAGTGAAATGGAATTAGGGGGTGTAAGAGGAGATTATGTTTGAAAATCTCTCTCTGAACCCTAGTTGCCGCCACCTTCTTCTTCCTATTCTCTCTTCTTGAAACCTGATTTCTGCTAATTTCTTTTGATTTTTTGTAACTTTTTAAACAACCCTTTATTTTCAAAAGGCCGTTTTTCTTCATGGTATTAGAGCAGGCTCGACTTTTCTCTTTTTTTACCTCTTTTTTTCCATACACAGTGTGTATGGAGAATTGAATCGTATGAATAGTTAAAGAAACCTATTTCAGCCCAGTTGTTAGTGGTTTTTGTAGAGAAGGGGACTAGTTTTGCCGTCCTCCTGACAGATTCAAGTGTGTTGCCCAAAACCCTAATTTTTTGGAGAAATTTGATTGCGGGCCCCATAGGGAGTTTGACTTGGGTGCTCAGTGACTAAAAGTCTTCTCATCCTTCATCTTGAAGATCGATTCAAGTGGATTGGTGTTCTGTGAAGTCTACAAGGAGCGACTGAGATTTCTCTGTTTCTCCCGGGTTCCAGGTGTGACACAAGTAGCAAGTACGACTGCATAGAGGTTGACTCACAACACAGTCTTTCTTTTGTCTTCATTTGTTGTTATTCGAAGTTGTTAGAAGTTATTTTTGAAGTATTTTAAGAAGATGAACCTTTCGGAAGTTGAAAACAAGCATGTTGCTGAATCCAGACAGGTTCTGGGAGCCTCTGTAGACTCTCTACTGGCTGTGACCACAGTCAAGCTAGATGGAACTAATTACCTGGATTGGTCACAATCAATAAAAATTCATATCTGCAGTAGAGGCAAATGGGGTTTTTATCTCCGGGAGCAAAAAGGCTCCTTCGGAAGATGATCCATCATATGAAAAATGGATGCAAGAAAATTATACTGTTATTGGATGGTTTGTAAACTCAATGCAACCGCAGATTAGTCAACACTATTTGTGGATGAATTTAGCAAAGGAAATTTGGGATAGTGTTGTTGAAACCTATTCCCAGAAATTAAATGTGGCTAGGGCTTACAAGCTGAGGAGTGATGTGAAGAATTTGAGACAGGGGGAGAAACCTTTAGCTGTTTATTTCTCAATACTGAAGTCTCTATGGCAAGAAATTGATTTGATAGAAGATGTAGCCTGGGACAACACTAATGATGCTGAGACCTACAGGAAACTTGTTGAGAGAAACAAGGTTTTTGAGTTTTTGACAAGGCTGAATTCAGAATATGATATCACAAAGCAAAATATCTTATGCAAGGATAGTGTTTCACTGTCTCAAGCCTATGCCTTGGTAAGTAGTGAAGAAAGCAGGTGACTTGTCCAGGTTCAAGGGGCTGGTCTAAATGATCACTTTGCTAATATGGGAGTGAAACCCAAGGGAGTTACAGGGACTCCAAGTAGCTCAGGGAAGAAAGAAATTATTTGTGAGTACTGTAAGAAGCCAAAACACACTAAAGACAAGTGTTGGAAATTGCATCATGAGTTTCTTCCTCTTCGGTTTCAAAAGAAGTCTGATAATATGAAGGCAGGGAGTGCCAATATTGCTGCTGGTCCAGATAGTGACAGATGCCTAACTGAAGAGATGACTGCTAGTGAGCAGTTAGTAGCTATGAAGGCAGAGTATGAGAAGTTTGGAAGGATGATCAGTCACCTAGAGGGTGTGGCCTCTTCTTCCAACCCTCCAGGAAATTCAACTTCTTCTGCATTTCCTCATTCAGGTATACGGACTTTTGCCAATCATGCAACTATTTCAGGTAATCGTAGGATCCCTTGGATTATTGATTCTGCTGCTTCTAATCATATGACCAGCCTTTCCACTTTGTTTGTTTCTTATGATTTACTTCCTGGCCGTGACAAAATCACCCTAGCCGATGGCTCTCTTGCCCCTATCTCCGGCAAGGGAACCATCAAGGCTACAGATTCCTTGGTACTTCCTTCTGCTCTTCATGTACCCAAGCTAAATACAAATTTGTTATCTGTAAGTAGCCTAATTAAGCCATTGAACTGCTATGTAACCTTCTTTCCTTCCTACTGTGTTTTTTAGGATCTGGAGTGTCAAAAAGTGATTGGGAGTGGCTAGGAGTGGCTATGAGGCAAATGGAATATATCTACTGGACACTCCTGGACAGAGCCATGGACAACCTGGAAAAGCTACTTTTGGGTCTACATCTACAGAGTCCATCAGTCGAGTCATGTTATGTCATTTTTGTTTGGGTCATCTTTCTTTTTCTACATTAAGTCATTTATTCCCAGAACTGTTTAAGGGAATTAGTCTGTCCAGTCTTCATTGTGAGTCGTGTGAGTTGTCAAAACATTGTAGAAGCAGTTATCCTTTGAGTAATAAAAGATCTTCTTCTCCATTCCATATTGTGCACTTTGATGTGTGGGGGCCTTACCACTTACCTTTTATGGGTGGCTACAAATACTTTATCTTGTTCATTGATAATTTTTCATGGTTCACTTGGATATTTTTGATGAAATCCCATGATGAAGTTCCCAGACTTGTGAGGCAATTCCATGAATTTGTCCTAATCCAGTTTGATACCAGAATTAAAATTTTCAGATCCGACAATGCAAAAGAATATTTTGAGAAAAACCTGACCTGCTATCTCACTAATTTGGGGGTTATTCACCAAAGCTCCTGTGTTAGGACCCCAGAACAGAATGAAGTTGCTGAAAGAAAAAATCAACATATTGTTGAAGTTGCAAAAAGTATCCTATTTGCCTCACATGTCCCTACAAAATTTTGGGGTGATGTTGTTCTCACTGTAACCTACCTAATCAACCGTATGCCATCCAGGGTTTTGGGGTTTAAGTCTCCCTTCAGTCTTCTTCATCCGGGTAAGGATCTTTTTCCTATTCCACTCCGTGTCTTTGGTTGCACTTGTTATGTACATATCCCAAGTGTCCAAAGACATAAATTTGAACCAAAAGTCCACAAGTGTATCTTCCTTGGTTATTCTCCCACACAAAAGGGTTATTGTTTTGATTCGAAGACTGGCACTCGGTATGTTTCAATGGATGTCACCTTTGATGAGCTCTCTTCCTTTTATGATTATTCTCAGGAAAGGCATTGTCCAAAGGGGGAGAATTTGTCACAGTTGTTTGCTCTCCCCCTTCCTATCCTAGTTGAGTCTTCTGTTGAGACTTTTCCTCCTTCAACTGAGTCAAGGGAGGATCAGTCATTTCATTCTTATTCTAGTGTCCCTATCCCTCTTCCTTTACCTCCTCGTCCTCTTTTTAATCCTAGGTTGTACCAACGGCAGAGAACCAGAAGTGAGCAGATTGTTTCCTTTACACCACATGAGCCTCCTACACTTCCAGTCACAGAAGAGACAACAGGTACTGATACAGCCCCTTTGGAGTCATCATTTCCAGACCTTGATATCCTTATTGCTATTAGGAGAGGAAAAAGGAAGTGTACTACACATTGCATTTCCAAACACCTTTCTTATAGTTTGCTCTCTCCTTCATATTTTGGCTATCTTTCTTCTGTTGCTTCTAACCCAATTCCCAGGTCAGTGTTAGAAGCTCTTACTATTCCAGAATGGAGGGATGCTATGAAAACAGAAATTTATGCCCTACACAAGAATGACACTTGGGAAGTTGTTGATTTACCTGAAGAAAAGGATCCAATAGGCTATAAGTGGGTTTTTACCATCAAATATCATGTTGATGGCACCATTGAAAGGTACAAGGCTAGGCTGGTTGCAAAAGGTTATACACAGACATATGGGATTGATTATCTGGAGACCTTTGCTCTTGTTGCCAAGATGACTTCTGTGAAAGTTCTGCTATCTGTGGCTACACACTTAGACTGGCCACTTTATCAGTTAGATGTAAAGAATGCATTTCTAAATGGAGAGTTACATGAGGAGGTCTATATGTCTCTTCCTCCAGGGATGTATGAAACAAATATGAAAGGGAAGGTCTGCAGGCTGAAGAAATCTCTTTATGGACTTAAACAGTCCCCTAGGGCATGGTTTGAAAGGTTTTGGGCTGCCCTTGTTAGCTTTGGCTATGTACAGACTTAGTTTGATCATACCCTCTTTGTGAAGAGGAGACAATCCTTGGCAGTTTACCTGATTGTGTAGATGATATTGTTGTGATTGGTAATGATGTATCAATGATTAATGATCTCAAATATTCCTTCATACAGAGTTTGAGATCAAAGATCTGGGGGAATTGAGATACTTTCTTGGCATAGAAGTTGCTAGATCCAAAGATGGGATCCTTATCTCTCAGAGAAAGTATGTACTTGACTTACTCTCTGAAACAGGGAAGATGGGTGCTAGACCAGTTTCTACTCCTATTGATATGAGTCATAAACTCTCTGCTTTAGATGGAATATTGTTGGAAAATAAGAGATTCTTCCAGAGGCTACTTGGAAAACTTTTCTATTTATGCATGACTCGGCCAAACATTGCATATGTTGTCAGTTGCATTAGTTAGTTCATGCATGCTCCCAGGGACACTTAGATGAAACTTGAGGCCTACACAGATGTTGATTGGGCCGGAAATATTGATGACAGAAGATCTACCTCAAGATATTATAGCTTGGTGGCAGGTAATATTGCCTCTTGGAGAAGCAAGAAACAATCAGTTATTGCTTGATCTTCAGCCGAAGCTGAATACAGAGCCATGGCTCATGGAGTTTCTGAACTACTATGGTTTAGATCCTTAATGGAGGAACTGGGTATTGAGCATGATAAGGCATTGATGTTATACTGTGATAATCAGGCTGCTATTCAACATTGCTCACAATCCAGTGCAACATGATAGAACCAAACATATTGAAGTTGAGAGATACTTCATTCGAGAAAGACTGACTTCTGGAGAAGTGTGTCTACCTTTCATAACTTCTAAAGGACAGTTAGCTGATTTCCTCACCAAGGGCATTCCAAAGGCTAAACTTCAGCATGATACTGGCAAGCTTGGCATGATTGATTTCTATGCTCAGCTTGAGGGGGAGTGTAGAGAAGATGGGCCGAATGGCCCATAGGCTATTTATCTTTTTTTTTATGTTCTTTGCTGTAATGGGCCTTAATCTGGGCTCTTATTCTTTCTTATGTTATGTTTTTTAATTTTCTGCCCAATCAGGGGCCTCTCTGTAAATTACTAAAGTTTAACTTAATGAAATGGAATTAGGGGTGTAAGAGGAGATTATGTTTGAAAATCTCTCTCTGAACCCTAGTTGCCGCCACCTTCTTCTTCCTCTTCTCTCTTCTTGAAACCTGATTTCTGCTACTTTGTTTTGATTTTCTGCAACTTTTTAAACAGTCCTTTCTTTTCAAAAGGCTGTTTTTCTTTTTACATCTATTTGTTCTTGAGTCAATTTTGATCCTTTGTGTCTTCACTTTACATTGAATGGCACACTAACAAGCATTTCTTATCTATCAAATTAACACCAGTATGTGGTCTTGAATTTGTAGTGCTTTTGATGGCTTTCACTTACTAGGTTTTTGCTAAAAACTGTGTTTGCCATCTCTTTCTTGGCCTTCCAACGCTTCAAACAGCAGTCATTACTTTATGTTTGCAAATGTATCAATGGTACTCATTATTAAAGATTTTTTCCTTTTCATTGATGTATGTTGGTCAACTTTATTTTTATTATTTTATGGAATAAAATTACCATATGCTCAACAGAAGTATACATTTGTATCTGATTTGAAGTGTGCTTATTCATTTCTCATATCTCTATTTTTTTTTTTTTTAATTTTCTGCAGCTGCTATGCTAATGCAGTGCTCCAGTGCCTGGCATTTACTCGGCCTCTAGCTTGTTATCTTCTTCAAGGGCACCATTCCAAAGCATGCATGTTTCTGCTCTTCATCTTGTCTTTGGTTTTTTGGTTTATTTGATTTTCTGTGATAATTTGTTTTATGGCATCCTTGTTTTGCTAAGTTCTTTTTTGTCTTTATCAGGCCCAAAGAAAGAGTGGTGTTTCACCTGTGAGTTTGAGGCTCTAATTCTGAGGGCGAGAGAAGGGAAATCCCCTTTATCCCCTATTGGTATACTTTCCCAAATACAAAACATTGGCAGTCATCTTGGTCATGGGAGAGAAGAGGATGCCCATGAATTTCTAAGGTGAATATATTTGGGTGCTTATTATTTGAGTTTATGTCATTTCCATGTTGTTTGTATTCTGATTTAATCAATGAGTATTTTGGTAGGTATGCCATTGATGCAATGCAATCTATTTGCCTAAGAGAAGCTGGATCAAATGTGGATGTCCCCTATGCAGAAGAAACAACTCTCATAGGCCTGATATTTGGGGGTTACCTTCGATCTAAGGTACTTTGTGGCATTTGAGAGGAATTACTGTTCAGATTATTGTGGAAAACTTGAGTGTTGCTAGTGGTTAAAATTTTTATTATTTTATTGGGTACAAGTGCATGATATACCACACATCTGGAATGTTGTCAGTCTATACAAGGGACCATGGATGGGAGCCACCTGGACTGATACAATGTTCCAGATATGATGCACTCTCAAGCAAAATTGAACTTGTGTGAGTGAAGTATAGAAGGTTATATAAAGTTATATAAGAGGACTTTCTTTGGGGGGTGTCCTTTAGTTGCTTGAATTCCTTTTTTTATCTTTGTATTGTTAACATGTCGAATATATATATTTTAAATTGTTGAGTATTTAGCACAAATTACAAAGAATTCCTTTACTTTAACTGGTGAATGTTGATCATTCTTTATTATATAATTAATTAAACATTCACTTTTCAAATTAAGATATTTTCCCTTGGGGATAAATTGTTAGGCCCCTTGGTTTTGTTGGTATAAATAGTTTTTAACCATTATTTGCAATATGTCCATGTGTTCTTGTTATTTTAATTTTGTAAAACAAATTATACATTATTCTTTTATGTGCATACATTTAGGCGTGCAACATGGGCGGGCCTAACCCGAGCATGGGTTGACCCAGCCTGAATTTAACATGGGCTGGGCTTGGGCTCAAGACTTCAGGTTTTTATTTTTTATTTTTTGGGCTGGACTTGGGCCTAGCCCGAACCCGGCCTGACCTTATCCCAACCTGAGTCTGGCCCAACTATACACATTCATACATACATATATAGATATGTATTTACATATATACATACATATTTGCATACATATGTACATATATACATACATATATGCATACATATTTGCATAAATGCGTACATACATGTGTAATTTTAGAGTGGGTTCATTGACCAACCTGAGCCTGGCCTAGGCCTGAGCCCAACCCAAGTGCATCAAATTACAGTGCGGGCTGGGCTTGGGTTGGGAAGATCGGGCTTGACCTCGGGCTCGGGCCTTAGGCCCAAATCTTAGGGTTGGACCTGGGTTGACCATAAACCCGGTCCAGCCCTCACTTGCACCCCTACATATATTCCAAGCAGAAAATCAGATTCTGAAAAATCTTCTGACATGTGAGATGGGATCCACCTACAATTTGATGTCCACCAATGGAGATCACATTTACTCCTTTCTGTCTCTAGCAATCAGCTGTCAAAAGTGAATGCTATTGTTAAACTCAAAAGTTTCCAACAGCTGTCTAGGGCTGGACATCTAATATGCTTTGAGGTCTCTAAATATCATATGCCTAGAGGCAAGGCGCCAGCTAGCTGGTTGGTAAGGTCTCCTGCTTGTTGTAGCAGAGACTTGGGGATCAAATCCTGCCTGCACCTGGGTTGGGGGGTGGGCTACCCCTGTCGTGTAGCCCTTCAGAAGATATATATATGCCTAGGGGTGCAACTTGGGCTGGGTTAACCCAAACCCAACTTGAACCCAGTTCAAAAAGGTCGGGTTGAGTTGGTTAGAGTTAGGGTTGAGATTTATAAATCCAATTTGACTTTGAGTTGGATTAGGGTTGAGGCCATGAGCAACCCGACTCAACCCAAATCCAAAGCATTATGCATAGTATATACTCTAGTAACGGTACTCCCTTCTCCACCTAGCTTTATCCTTATAATTTACTAACCTAAACCAGTGAACCGAATTTTCTTTTTTCATTCTATTTCTTCTGTATCGCTGCCGTTCATTTCTCTCTAATGACTGAACTCCTTCAATCTTTGTTTCTATCTTGTTTGTGTCATAGATTCGTAGATTCATCTTCTCACTTTACCAATTGCTGATATGTCTTAAGCACTTACTTTGATTTAGGCTCAAGATAGATCTAAAGTCTCAATATCATACCTTTACTGGTCACTAATCAAGTCATCTTACTATTGATAAAATTTCCCATGCTACACATTTTTGTAACTAAAAATTTTCTATCAAAGCCAAAGCGACAGATAGGGGTTTGAGGGTTTGGGAGAGTTTTTGACACCCTCATTGATTAGTTGGTGTGCTGTTTAAAAACAGGCTGTCTTTTGAAATTGCAGATAGTAGCAGTTGGAATGTGACTTTTTATTTGCTTGATTTTTTGTTTCTATTTTCTTTTAGTTGTTGGTATTTTTATGTAGTTGTCTTTGTAGTCAGTTATTATCTGTGTTGTTGTTTGAGGGGTCTTAGTTGTTTGTAGTAGTTTGTATACATTGTGACACATTGGAACACATTTAATAACAATTGAAAATTGATGGAAGAATTAAGATTTTGGTTTATTCATTTTCATAAAACCAATATAGTTTATATTCTTTTTTTATTAGTATATCAATTTTAGCGTTTATTACCCAACATTCCTTAAGAAGATAAAATTTACTTAAGAATTAAAGTGCATATGCTTATGGCAAGCAACTATAATATGGCACAATGGTAGACTTATGATCATTACAAACTAATGACTAAGGTTTGAATCATCTCACATGTAGTTTTTATAGCCAAATTTAAGGCGTGTTTAATGGCATATGATAAATTCGAATTTGAATTTGAATTTGAATATTGATTGAAAATGTAGCATGAAATGAAGGAGTATGTTTAACATAGCATTAAATAAATGAATTATTAGAGGGGGAGTAATTATAGGGGTTATAGATAGTAATTATAGGAGTTATTAGAGGGAGGGGGAATAGTAAATCGGAATGTATTGGCTGATACATACATAGTGGTGGCCTGTATCGGGTCTGTATCAGCAAATACAGATCCAAAACGATCCGATACGGACATGTATCAAACCATACAGACAAAAAGGAACGGAACTCTTGATTTTGTTGCGTTCCACGTATCGGACTCCTACAGAAACGATACGTATTGGCCGATACAAACTGATACGTTATGAAATTTTAAACCTTGGTATGTATGCAAATACAAGGTTTAGAAATACGGTATACAAGGTTTTGCACTTGAGTGATTGATGCAACCAACAGTGAAAATATTCCTAATAAATCTTCTTAAATGGATCATATCAATATGTATCATAGTACACACTCACATGTTGGTCTAGAGTCCCATTCTGGTAGTTAAGATCATGGTTTTCAAAACTGGACTGGAAACAGAACCGTTTTGGCCACTGGTTCCCAGGTCAAAGTCAAATGGTCTGGCCATCTGGTCCAAACCCAGGTCGGGTGGTTTTGGGGTCCAAAACCAGACCTGGACTCGTGGCCGTTCCTAGGTCAACTGGTCTGACGATCCGGTCCAGTCTGGTTTTCAAAACCATGGTCAAAATATCAGTGTCCCATCCAACGGCAATCACATGTGTCAACTATATAAGTGAATTACACAGGCTCAAGCTTGGAAGGGATATTTTAGGTCTACAAGGAATTGAGTTATTTAACTCCCTTGTGTAAGTCCCACTCACCTTAGGATCTTCTAATCATAGACATAACTATATTTAGAATGCTTTATACAAACTGCAAAGAAAAAAATCTCATTTTTTGATAATATGACAAATGTATGAAGTAAACTTGGCTTTACATTAGCGCATGGAAATGACATTTCAAATAGTCTCAGACCTTGGGGCTGTGAAAACAGTCCAGTATGAAGGGAGTTTCTTTCTCTTAGATGACCTGATCAAGCCAACATGACACATGCTAGACAGGGGACAGGTAGAACTCAATTTTTTTGGGCACAGTTGTAATAGAAGTGATTTGTAACTAACTGTGTTCGGGGAGAGATAAGAGGCGTTATCTCTCGCTGGTTCATTTGATCTACTCATTTTTAATAATTAAATGAAAAGGATTCAGTTATAGGTCAAAAGGAAAATGACACATCACTCAAGTGGTCTCTATGCAGCACTCCCTTCTCCTTTTGCTGCCCTCCCTGGAGGGATACCAAGAAAAAAGGGTTACTCTGCTTGCTTTAAGATTTGCTTATCATTAGCTTTAATGTCCTTGAGTTCTTTAAGGTTCTTTATCCATATAAGTAACAAATGATACAAATAGGTGAACTGTTTTTGGTGTGCAATACCTGCTACAAACTTTTTGGTAGGTAAATCTTGTTTAATCTTTCCTTTGTAAAAAGATTATTTTTTTTCTCATAAAAGAAAAGAAAAGAAAATCTTTGTATAACTATACTGATCTAAGAAAAACATTTTTGATAACCTTTACCAATAAATCTTTGTATAACCATGACTGGGATATGCAGATAAGGTGCTTGAAGTGCCAAGGAAAATCTGAGCGTATTGAACGCATGCTGGATCTTACTGTTGAGATTGAAGGTGACATTGGAACCCTTGAAGAGGCACTTGCAAAATTTACGACTGCTGAAATCTTGGATGGAGAAAACAAATACCAGTGTGAGAGGTAGGTTAATTTCTTGTTTGGCTTTACACCTCTTGATTATTACCCTTTGGCATTATTCATTTTAGAGGTGGGAACCATAGTTTCTGACCTCCTTGATCCTCTTTGGGAAATTTAGCGTGGATGAGAAGACATAGCAATTATATAACCTATAGAATGCAGCCATATCTTTTTCTAGTTCAATCTTGCACTAGAAATTGATGGGCCTATGGTACAACCATTGGAATTAGAACTCACAGATGGATGCTTGAGCTTCACATTCCATCTTAAGGTGTTTTGGCCAAGCCGTTACAAATGTCTGAACTTATATAATAGCCAGAGCTGTGCTAATTGCAGTCTTACCTGTCACCTTTGTAGGATCTTTAAAAATAAAACCTTTTTAATGCCCTTTTTGTCCAATCAGATGCAAATCTTATGAGAAGGCTAAAAAGAAGTTGACGGTATTGGAGGCTCCTAATGTCCTTACCATTGCCTTGAAGCGGTTTCAGGTAACTTCAAAAGAATGTATAATCCTGATGCTCTGGTTGTTTTCAGCTTCTTAATGATAACTTCACTCTCTGCTTTGCAGACTGGTAAATTTGGCAAACTAAATAAGTTGGTTCGGTTCCCTGAGGTCCTGAACCTGACTCCATATATGAATGCGACAAGTGACAAATCTCCTGTGTACACACTTTATGCGGTTGTGGTTCACTTGGATATTATGAATGCTGCATTCTCTGGTCATTACATATGCTACATTAAAAATTTTCAAGGGAAATGGTTCAAGATTGATGACAGCATGGTATGTTTCCTTTGTACCATTAATCTATCTCTCTAGAACATGGTTCTATTTGTGTTCTGCGTTACATCATGATTTTGGACCATCTTTGAGAAATGCAATGCATCAGTTCTGTGTACCTTGAAAACCAACCTGTAGCGGATGCATCCAGTCCAGGGGATTACACCTAACATGGAAATTGTTTAATTGGATGGTTTAACAAACCATCTGGTATAAACTTTTGGATGATAAGAAGAAAATATGAACCTTCTAGTCAAAAAGCATAGAGTTGATGGTTTAATCTTGCCTTAAAAGTGTCTTGTAGGTGGATCAATTGGATCCTGTGTTTCACATTTCTGGTTCTTGCAAAATGTTACCACTTCATCACTTCATTGTTTACCTATTCACTGGTTTGTTTGGTTGATTGGATTCTGAGTTCGTAATCTGCATCCTTTCATTGAACTAGGTTTGCTAAGACTAATATTATATTCCTTTTCTAGTGCATAGAGTTCTTGGTGGGAGTGTTTAACAAAGGAAAATTTATTTTGTGGTATTATATGTATGTCATTGATGAGGATGGGCCTTGGCACAACAGTTGGGCTGTTCTATTGCGACCTGGGTGACCGGGGTTCAAATCATGGAAACAGCCTCTCTGTGTATCTGCTTGGGTAAGGCTGCATACGTCTGTCCCTCCCCTGATCTTGCTTTGGCAGGAGCCTTGTCCACTGGGCTGCCCTTTTTTTATATGTATGGCATTGATGCATTATGTGGTAAAAAATTTGCAAATGCGGATTAAAATTTTACATGTAAAAGGAGGTATTCTTTTTTTTTTTTAGGACAAACTCAACCCAACTAAGCCTTGTCCCAACTATATGGAATTGACTATGGGAATAAGATGGCAATTCAGGATTCATGTTCATAAGAGTTTGGCAAGAAGTTTTAATTGCTGCTGCCAGTTTGATGCAACGCTTGTTATGTACTTGACCAAGCTTTTGCAGCCAATGTCCTGGCAGGTAGCCCTTTCTGTCTAGTGGCACTCTGCTCTAGGCAGCCTTTTCCATGATTTGAACCTGAAACATGGGTAGGCTCTGATACCAATTATTATGTCGACCAACATGTCAAAAACCTTGAAGACTGTTGGAATGTGTCAAGTCAAGCTGTTTAACCTTTAAGGCTGTAACAACCGTTCTCTTTTATCCTGGCCTGAGACTGAAAGTGTATGACAAGCTCAATATTGGCAGAGTTGTTGACAAACTCATTGTAGAAACTTTAGGGAAGGGAGGGTCTTCCGGTTCCTAAATGTTTAGGATTTCTATATAAAATGTGGCTAATAATATCATCATTGCTATTGATGAAGAAAAATACTGATTTTTGTTTACTAAGTTATTAGGTCTCTTTAAAATATGCAAGATTCTAGGCACTTTATTTGAAATGTTAATAAATTGGAGTCCTTATCTGGGCTTTATATCTTCAAAATGAATGAAGTTTTGGCCCCTTTTCTATTCGACAAATGAATGTGACCAAAATTGATAACTATGGTCCAACTAGGGTAGTGGTGCCTCACAACATCAACAATCTAATGTTCTGTCAGCATGTTTTCTGTGACTAATTCTTTTTACTTTTAAATAAAAATATTATGGTATTGGTCTATTGGATGTATTGCTTTTAACAATTATGGTCATGGATGTTAGGTAAAACCTGTTGAGCCTGAGAAGGTTTTGTCAAAAGGGGCATATATGCTCTTTTATGCAAGGTAATGAGACAACTTCTGGATCCATATGTTTTATGAATTATGATTCCTCTTGTTTCTGATCCCTGTCATGTAAACAAATTTAATTGTCTTATGGTTAGGTGCTCACCACGGGCCCCAAGTTTGGTAAGGAATTCATTGATCCATGATGACAAAGTGAAGAGAAGCAGATGCTCTGAAGCTGTTCCTTCCAGCCATAGTGGGAATAATATGTCTAATGAAAGGCCTAGTGTAGTTCCAAGTGCTAGCCCTAAAGACCTTCCCTTTTGGACGACTACGGATGGTACTATTAACTATGGATCTTTTGATTCAGATAATAGGAGTTTCCGCCGTCATCAGATTCCTAAAGTTGATTGGTTCAGTGATAGCTCGTCCCTTTTCAGCTGCTCGGATGAAGGTTCCTGCAGTACAGAGAGTACGAGGGACTCTACCAGCACAGAGGACTTGCATGATTACATATTTGGGGAAGCGATCTGTGGTTGGAAAAGCCCTTTGAGGGTTTCATCAGACTCTGATGGTGCTTCTTCCCCTTTGGGCTCGAGTTTTTCACCCCAATCAATGTCAAAGAGTCATTCATTGAATTCTCCTGATACAAGTGGGTATCAAACTTACAGCACAAAACCGGAGACAGGTAAAGCTTCAACGAAGCTACGTGATAAGAGCGGCATAGGAGAGGATCTGCAAGGGAAGGAAAGGCCTCCCCTTTTGTACTCTGACACAACTAAATCCTGTAGAAAGTTTACAACCCATCGTAGTAGTAGTAGTGGCAGCAGCAACAGCAATAGTCTTGGTAGTTGTAGTTGTAGGGAGACTGACCGGAAACGATTAGGTGTTGTTAACCCTTTTGGTTGGAGATCTGGTGTAACAATGAGAAGAGGCACTAGGGAAAGAGCGGCTCAAACATTTTATTGAAAGGTTTGAGTTTGGGAAATAAGAGTTTAAGTTGTAATGTAATGTATACCTTTTGCTGGTTGAATGGAAGAAATCAGCTGTTAATTTGCATCTTTCTCTCTCTCATGTGGTCGTCCAAGAATTACCTGGAATGCAGCAATTCCAAATTCCAATTTGTATTTTCACGTTTCATTTCAGCTTTGAAGAGGAGTTGCTTTAGCGTATTATGTTTGGATGTTTTAGGGTTCTCATAAATCTGTCCTAATTCTTCCCTCTAAAATTTGACATTGGGGCTAATGGAGGCGTTTTGAAGCGTTTGAGTGCATGGAAAAATTCTTCATAATGGGGGGTTCATAGTTGAAAGCACGTGGATTCAAAACATTCCCAGGTTCTTCCAAGTTCCTAGTTTCCTACTATTATCTAAAACCCATTCTTCTCTTATTGTTTGACACATTTTCATTTACGAGGATTAGTTAAGGGCTTGCATAGTTAGGGTGTCAAACAAATAGAAACATGAAGCATATCAAATTAGCATTCTTCTTGCTCCAAATTTCTGTGTCCTGCTGACTTGGGTCTCTTTTCCCCCTCAAATCAATTGCCAGAACATGCATCTGCAGTTTCTGTGAAGGAAAACTGGCAAAGTTTGTAAGCGCATTGCCTTGAATTCTTCTGATGAAGTGGGTTGTTAATTCCATCATCTTCGGAATTTATTGATCTCACAGTCTCATTGATTTCCTTGAGTTGTTCTGTTTGTTTATTGATTTCAAATTTCCAGTCCTATATTTTCTTCGCATGATTTCGGTCTGGACTGTCTGTTTGGATAAATGATGGAGTCTCATGACTCATGACATCAGGAGGAGCTCCTGATTTCATTACCCGTGACCAGACCACAAAACCCCCCCTGTTCAGTTTCAATAAAAAAACTTTCTTCATTAATCCAGATTCAAAGGTCAAAAAAAAAAAATGTGGAAACCTCTTCAGGCAGGCGAGGAGAGGAGGTGAGAGTTGAGAGTCAGAAACAGCAGAAAGTCAAAAAATAGAATAAAATAAAATAAGGGGTCAGAAAAGGCAAGAGGCCCCACGAGGCAACGATTTGTGCCATCTGCTATATCACCAACTCCCCAACCCCCAAGCTGACGAAAACGACAAAAAGACTTTCTCTTTTCCTCCGGATAAGAACTAAAGAAGAGCACCGAGTGACGAAATGACGGTGGCAGTGGATCCCCCCAGCTGTCAATCAAAGGCCAAAGACTGACCTCAATGATCAGCCGTCCACGTGTTCAACTATTATGATGTCTGCGTCACCCACATGCCTGAACACCCCCCCCCCACTTGATTGACGCATCGACCATCCATGTCCTTGTTTTGTGGGGCCCATCCGCCCATGTCTTTGGTCGCCGACAAAACAAAACAACCTCCAAAAGCCTGAGAGAGAGAGAGAGAGAAGTCCATTCCGATTACGGCACCAGAATTCAGAATACTTTTTCCACTTCTCTCTGTCGCGTCGTAAATCAAAAGTCAACGGCGTTGATAGAGCTGGCCATCCCGACCGTTGATCATATTTACTTTAGCCAACAGCGACCACTCACGGATAGATTTGGACGGATCTGTAGAAGTAGAATCGAAAGGGCACCAAATGGTCGACGATGACGATTGGCCCGAACCATGGGACCGGGACCGCAGCAAATTGCGACTCCGCCACCGAAGGGAACAGGTGGGCCCCATTCGCTTCATTTATTTTGTTTCTGAGCTTGGGCTTGGGCCTGGCCCAGCCCAGCCCAACCAATCATGGCGTTCGGTTTTGAATTTTTGATTCAGCACCAATTTTGCACACTCATGCGTCCCTATATCACTTCTCAACTCAACTTCTCATCCAATTAATTAATAATAGGGCATTGCCTTGTATTTAAGGTTTAAGATTCTATTGCTCTACACAAGTTTGACCGTTTCTTCAATACTTCTCCTTCCGATCAGTTGGAGTCACATCATCTGGTGGACCAGTGAAGGGGGTTGATGGCAGCACATACCAGGCTGGAGATGTCGACACGTATACTTTGCTTCTTGTTTAAGAAGAAGAATGTGAATTGTGATGTGATGGATGGATTTCCTCTACTTGAGGGACTGTCTCCTGTTTGTTTTGATTTTTTGAACCGTTACTTCTCTTTCTCTTTGCAAATTACACCCTTTTTAATGCTAAGATAAGAACCTCTAGAGTTTGGAGACTCTGGACTCTGGATCTAATCCAACTGATATCAAAGGCTCAAAGCCATGCCCGAACCTGAAGATCAGATGGGTTTGCTTGGGGGATTTGGGATGAGAAGGATTTCATTAGCTCCATGGATCTCTCCCCTTCTTCCATCCATTTTCTGTAACATTTGGAAGATTGATTCGACTGGTATAGTGGCTTTAGCAATTAGCACCGAGTCGCGTTCACGTCCCCACCTTGGATTGATTGAAGATGATTGAAGGCCCAAAATATTCCCTTTTTCGCACTAATACAAAGACACACACCTTCACAACCCATCAACCTTTTTCTCTTTTCTACCTGTTTCCTTTTTTTTTTTTTTTTCCTTCCCCAAGAATAAGGTTGAAGATGGATCAACAATTTGAAAACAACTGGTTCCATTCTCTGTCCTGATGTTTACTTTGTTCTGTCCTAGTCACTGGTCTTCATCCGCTCCTGCTTAATGGAAATGGTGGAGCTGTATTAAGGGGTCCCCATGGATTGGATCAACTAGCTACTCCATAGAACTGGGGTTCAAGTAAGCAAATGTAAAGCCAATCAATAGTGTGGACCTAATATAAACCATTGTATTAGCATTATTTGGACCACCTGTTAGAGCATTTGCTTTGATGGGTTCAGAGATGATGAACTATTGGATTTTTATTTAATTTTTTGACTTTCTCCTTTTCAAGTAAACAATCATTGAAGCACAGTCAGATTTGAGGAGAAATATAACGTAATTGATCAATGAAATGGTCCTAGGTAGAATGGAATTATGATAAATATTGATTTGCGTAGCCGGACCCCAAATGGTTGTAATAAGGTTCTGTTAAATTGAACTAATATATGGTTGATTTAAGGAAGGAATATATGTAAATGATTATATTATATATAAAATTTGAATTAAAATTTCTTGTGGTTACTATGATTTCTGAGAGTGTAAGTCAAAATATATAAAAGATTTATTTATTTATTTTTTGGGTGGTTGGGGAGTCATATGGGCACATAATATATTTTTGATAAATGGGTCACATCATTAATTTTTAATACATGCTTTAGAAGACCAAAAGCACTTCTATAATTACAAGTTTAGGTCATTTTAAACCGGAAATCCTTTGTTTATTTACAGAAATTGGATATGCCCAAACCCAAATCAGTCAGACAATTTGTTATCTAGAGAGACATTTCAATACAGGAAGTTTAACTATGTTGATTTTGTAAAGGTGCTATTAGTCTAGCCCCTAAAGTCTACGGATGTAGTATCCACTGATCTGGGATTCAAACCTGCTTCAACTTGCCAGATTTTAACTTTTGAGCTGTTCTGTAAACTATTTTCTGAATTAGTTGTAGAATGAGAAGAAATGAAGTCATGGCTTTCTTTATGGTTGCATTCACTGTTTTCAAAACTGGACTGGACTGGAAAAATCGGGAATCGATCATCTGACTGGTTTTGTTTTCTTCCAAAACCGTTTTTTCTTTCTAAAACCATTGATTTTGATCAGCAAACCGCTGAACTGGCCGATTAATCGTTCAAACCATTCGAACAGTTTTGACCATTTTTAAATTTTTTTTGTCAAAACAGACCAGCCGTTCGAGTCAAACGGTCAGACCGTTTGAACTGGTAACCGAACCCCTAACCGGTTCTTTTTTAAAAACCATGGTTGCATTGGTTGATTTGCAAAGGCTACCCTCTTCAATACCCCTCAATTGTCAATGGTGAACATGAATCTTTGATTAGGAAAGAATTCAAACCATGATGCCGTCACTGAAGAAATTAATAAGAACCATTTACAGTTAAACTAAAACCCTTTTAATAGATTACTTATATGTCTGAAAATTCCTTAAACAAAATAAATGAATAAAATAGTACATATATATATATATAGCCATAGGAAAATCATCCCAATTAATGGTTAAAGGCATCCAGTCAAATTGTTTTTTTTTTTTTTTTTGGTGCAACAGATCTCCCATCTACACTGTAAAAATTAAAAGTTGAGTCGGAAGCGACACTTCACCAATTGTAATTATTTATGAAAGAAACTTGGTACTGTATGGGAAAAGAATTATATTGCTAATTGGGTCACTTGATTCACATAGTTGTACATACAATAATCTTTACAATAACTAATTAACCATTTCTTTTGTCTTGATATAATAATAGAGTACTCAATTATATGATATAGATAGTCAGGTTCAAGTTCAAAACTAATCAATTATCAGTCATATCCACACATAAAGGAAAACAATAATCAAATCCCATCGTGAAGGAAATCTAACCAATGACTGTCAAGTATATATATCAAGGCATGTATCTTTCTTAAAACAAAATTAATTAATTCATCGGAAGATATCAGAAATTAGTTGTTATGTGGAGTCTTTATTAAGCCTCTAATATAATGACTGACCACTGACACGCTTGCCTTAGTATTCACTCCAAACAAACAAGGAATAATACCAATTTGTTGATGATTTCCAGGCCACTTTATTCAATTAATTTATTAGTTTATTAATTATTAAAAGTAACTGAAGAAAAGAAAAGAAAAGCTAGATGCTATATTTTTTCAAGGAAAGCCATGAAAAATTTGTCCTACTTGAATGCAAAAGAAACCCCAAAAGCATAGATCAGAATTTCCTTTTTCAATGGTGGTATCATACATAAATGTATAAACAAATTAATGCAGGAATCAGAGGAGGTTAGTGAAGCACTTTTAGTTAGGTAGATCCTCCCCTTTTTGCTTGTTTCGTTTTAGCCTTATAATAACCCTACACTTTTAAGGGTAGATTGTGCAGGAATCAGAGGAGGTTGTGCAGGATTTTGGATTAAAAAAAAAAAGATAAATTGTAGATTAATACCCTACACTTTTAAGGTAGTTGTTACCACTTTAATCCAACATCATTAACCGACCCTATAGTGAGTAGTAAAATTATCAAATTGCCCTTTATTATCAAATTAGCCATACATGTGGCC